AGAGCTATGTTTCCATCAGAAATTGCATCTGCTATTATTCCTTCAGAAGTAAGCATTTTGAGATGCTTCTCACTTCACTAAATTTACACTTCTCAGAATTTGCTAATAAGGCTGATAAGATTGAGAGGAGATACACCGATATCAAGAAGCAGTTAAAAGTACAAGTAAGTAAAGTTCAAGCAAGTGAGAAATTAACTGCAAGTGTAATTGCTCAAGATATTACAGTAAAGGGCTAGTGTTTTGTGAAGAAGCTTTGGATCAAATCCAAGGACAAGAAAACAGGGAAAAAAATCTGCTTAGATTTTCTTCTCCAGAGCATAAAGATGTTCAAAAAAAAATTTTTTTTTTTACCTGCTTCAGACTGTTCTTAATCTATAGAGGCAGCCTATTGGGTGTCATCTAGAAGCAGGAAGGCTTCACAATCCTGATCCTATGTCACTGAATTTCTTCAAAAAGCTAACTGAGATAAAATATTACAAACAACTAGACTGACCACACATTTGGAATATGAGGGAAATATGGTTATGATGTTCTCAGATTTACCTTTCAGAGTTATACAGAGGGACAGAAAATTCCACCAACCTTTTCTTATGGCCACATAACCAAGGATTACGAATTTATTTCTATATCCTGCAATATTGGGCTTATCCTTGGAAACTGGCATGAGGACATTTTATAGTCTTGAAAAGGCTGTTAATTATCACAAACAAGAGGCAGCTATCCGTGTAGATGTAGGACCTCTACAGCAGAAAGGTTCTGCTGGTTTGCAGGATCAATGGGCTTATTGATTACATATGATTTCTCTTTGTCTCCTTTCCCCCCCATTTTTTTTTTCTGTTTTCAGCTTCAGAGGAACAGAGAAAGAGGAATCTGGTTAACCGGCATGTTTCTCCTGGGGAACCTGATTTCCATAGGTAGGTTTGCAGGTTTTATTTTCAATTTTTTTAACATTTTTGTACTTTTAACAGTTCACTATGTCGGGTTTTCTGTAAGTGGTTTTGTTAACAGACTTGAGTAAGACATTTTTTATCAGAGACATTTTTTATTCATTTCCTTTTTTCTATTTTTTCCATACATTTTCCGTAAGTTAATTTTTGGTGAGGGTGTTCCCCCACCCCCAATGAATTCTATGTTTATGAAGGTTCAGTTTTGAATTTTTAGTTATTTTATAGTTTAGACCTGGAATATAGTCTGATTGCCACTCCTACATATTTATATTTATAAAATAGCCACATTTTGCTCATGGCTGTTAAAGACCTGAGAAGGATAGCTGAAAGAAGAGATTTTAAAAAATAAAATGAAAAAAAAAATGTTTCAGCAAGAAGTAGGGCTGAATAGATTTATATCATTGGAAATTCAAAATCTGCCAGAGGAGTGGCAATTTTTGTAAAACATCTAATTTTATAGTTGAACAAAGTTTTTAGATTTTAAAGGTTAAATATGAAAATTATCATATGGGAAATCTATAACAGATAAAATCACCCACAGTAAATATAAATGATATTAATTAAATTAAATTTAAAACAACCAATAACTAATCAAAGTTACAACAATACAAGGATAGATAATAATATGTTGGTGAAAAATCAGTAAAACACAATAAATTAATATCGACAAATACATCAGAATAAGTAATTCAGAGTGAAATAAATTAAAGATGATCCAACTACATGTTCTTTGGAGAAGTTCCATCTCTAGTAGCTTTCAGAACATTAGAAGGGATGATGCAAGTCCCAGTTCTAAGTGAAAGGTACTGTATTCCAGAAGGCTAGAGCAATAACTGTGAAACAGCACCTCTTGGCCCTATCCCCTTAATTCACAAAAGTGGATATGGCCAAAGGTTTCTCCCAGGACAAATGTCCTGGATTTGTTGATTCATGCAGGAGAAGGCAGTCCTGCAAGTACCTAGACACCAAGCTCTATAGGGCTTTGCATGTTAAAAATAGCCCTTTGAATTGCACCCATAAACTTACTGGTAATCAATATAAGGCCTGAAGATGGTGGGTAACATATGTCAATAACCAAGCCATTGCATTTTGTACCAATTGAGTTTTCAGGTGGTCTTCAAAAGCTGCACCATGTAGAACATATTACGCTAGTCCAGTTAAGAAGTGATAATAAAATAATAATAATAATAATAATAATAATAATAATAATTATTATTATTATTATTATTATTATTATTATTATTATTATTGCCTTATTGAGCAAAAAATTTGAATTAGATTTTTTTTCTATCATGAGATATCAACATTGGAGTAATTCTTATTTAAAAATGGCTGGTAATGCATTTTTGTTTTTAAACATGGGCTTATAATATGTTGGTGAAGATTCTCAGTCATCCAGGAGGTTGAGTCATGGCAACGGACTTCTTTTCTTTTGGTTAGATACGTTTCGCTGCTTGTCCAAGCAGCTTCTTCAGTCTAGAAAGTTGGTTAGGGGGGACCCCGTAAATGTCTTCCAGGGTGGCTGTGTTTCTCATTAACATGATGGGCTCATTAAAGGGACAATAGGAGATGTGATTAGTAGGGTTTTTGGGATGTGGATGTCTTGCTCCTAATCCCTTACTCATCCCCAAGTGGGTCATTAAGTGCTGCCTCCCTGGTGGACTTGAAGTGGTCTTAATCTTCCTGGGGTCTGATGGAAGAGCAGCATGAAAAATGGGAGACAAGTTGTGTCTGAGGCCTCCACCTCTATTGAGAGAAATTTTTTCCACTTTAGCATAAATGGATTCCTTCACTCCTCTCTCAAACCACCTATCTTCTCTGACCAAAATGTGAACATTATTGTCCTCAAATGAGTGTCCTTTTTCTTTTAGATGAAGGTAAACTGATGATTCTGGACCTGTGTTGTTGTTCCTCCTGTGCTGGGCCATCCTCTTTTGTAAAGGCTGTTTGGTTTCTCCAATGCAGAGCTCTGAACACTCTTTACTGCACTGAATTGCATATACTACATTGCTCTTCTTATGTTTTGGTGTTAGATCTTTAGGGTGTACAAGCCTCTGTCTCAGTGTGTTAGTGGGTTTGAAAAACACAGGTATGTGGTGTTTTCCAAACATCCATTTTATCTTCGCTGACACACCAACCATGTAAGGAATGACAAGATTTTTCCATTGACTCTGGGTCTCAGCTCTGTCTGCCATTTTCTTGTTGGATCTGGAAGTAGATTTAATAAAGGCCCAGTTTGGATATCCACAGGCCTTAAGAGCTGTCCTCAGGTGTCTGTTTTCTTTCTTTTTGGCATCTATGGAGGTGGGGATAGTTTCTACCCTGTGATGTAGTGTCCTGATGACTCCTAGGTTGTGCTGCAGTGGATGGTGGGAGCCAAACTGCAGGTATTGGTCTATGTGCATGGATTTCCTGTAAATCCCTATTTCTAGCTTGCCACCGGTCCCAATTAGAACCTCACAGTCTAGAAATGCCAGCCTGTTGTCCTTGGTGTCTTCCCTGGTGAACTTGATGTTTGAGTCTATGGTGTTTATATGGCCTGTGAAGACCTGTACCTCCTGGACTCTGATTTTAACCCAGGTGTCATCCACATACCTGAACCAGTGG